TACAGAATGCTCTGAAGAATGATATAGTAGAGAATTATACCTTGGAATATTGATTCTTGTACTACATGTTATCATCACTTTATTGTTGTTAATTATAACTAAGTCCTAGAATTATATGAAGTTCGAAACTGCTTACCTGATCCAATCACTTGTTTGAAGTGCTCGTTGTAACATTTCACATCTATGCTTTGCAGTCAGCAATCCTTTCTTGCCATATCCATCACTTACAGGAGAAATAATCCCACCAATAACCTGGTATCTTTTCGTACTATGTAGATAGTCACGTGCTAACTCTATACAATAACAAATCAGATAAGAACATTTGGAAACCACACCAATTTAAGTTTTGTTCTTCAGACAAACTAAATTATTTTCTACAAGTATCAAGATAAACAAATTCTACTTTGATTAATTTTCTTCTATAGAGTGAATGTTAGAGCTTTTCTTTCCAGAAAATGTTGCTCAAATTATTTTTACACTTTAAGGTCTGTCACACTATACTAATTTTATTATAGTAACATCAGAGAGCAACCAAGATAGTGGAGAAACTCTTTGAAATACATATTTCATACTAGCAACAAATGCTAGTAGATTTTCATGCATAAAATAAATACAAAGTTGTTGTTTTTCTCAAATCTTAAATAGTAGAGAAAATGTTAAAACTGATTTGCTTTCACCAATATATGGTGATAAATTACTAAACTCTGTTGTTAGAACACTTCCCTCCAAATAAAATCAAACAACAAATTCCAGTCTTCTTAAAAATATCAAAAGTCAAACAGATATACCTGGTACAACAAGGATTTCTCTCAGCTTTCTCTTAATTTCAAAATAACAAAGGAAGCATTCCTTCTCTACTTTTATTAGTACCCAAGGGTTGAAACCAATTTAAAATATTCAGTTGTTTGTGAAGAAAATGAAACTGACTTTAATGTTTCTATTAAAAACCATTTTCTTTATTCTAGAAAGGATAGTGGAAACTCAAAATTCTCTCTCTTTTTTTCAATTCTTTTACATATTCATTTAACTTCTCCCCATTTCAACTTTAGCAAATATTTCTAAGGATGACTAACCTTTCTTTATATGTAAAAATAAAATCTATAGGTGAATTTTACAGTTGCTTTGCATTTCAAAGAAAGTATGTAATACAAGTACCAATGTGTTTGCTATACTTTTATTTACAAACATTTAAAGAAAGCTGTATAATTTTTACATGAGTAGAGAATTTAATGAATTAAGAAATAGCTGAATGTATGAAATTTTTAAATAAAAATGTATTCACCATAATACAGTTAAAACTTCAATAAAATATTCTATTTCATTATGATACATGCATACATTAAATACTAAAAGGACTGCTTACAGGGCTATAATTTTTTTGGTGGGAGCGTATTACATTTATTACAAACTTATTGGATTCCACCCCACCCCAATCATTTTTTTTACTGTATGTGACACCTGTGTAATTTTTCATGCAGTTGCAAAAAATACTAATACCTCACCAAAATAATTGTTTTTATGATTTCAATACTACAATAATACAATTTCTTGAATTCAAAGCTTCATCTCAGGACACCCACCATTACAATGGTACTTTAATGCCTTTTTTAACTTTAATTTCAGTCACGAAAGTCAACAAAACTTGTCAGCCAAAACTTATCATAATGGGATACCTTTGCTACCATTTTATGTACTTCAATTTCCATGCAAACAATATCTTTTTATTCGTATTGAAATGAGTTTAGTTAAATAAAGGGATGAAATGTTCTTAATTAAATATACAAGAAAAGACTGACTAGAATATTTACATTGAACATATGTTAAAACTATATTAATCAATAGTAGTTAGCGAGAAGAAAAAAATATATTACATGTGCAGACTAGATACTATAAAAAGGAAAGAAACAAAGTTAGTGAACATGATCAAAGATCTAGTATAAGAAATTATGAGTACATGTGTAACTTGTACCTGTTAGGATTATATATCACCAGGAAATTACACTTTTTATCACCATGGTGACAGAAATATATACAAAAACCTTCATAAAGTGACATTAAAAAATAAGCAACTATGACTTCAGTCCGGTCAAGCTGGATAGAATATTCTGCCTTTATTTTGAAGAAACCTCATGATAACTAACCAATTTCATCCAGCTCATATCAACACACTACATAGCAATGAAAATATATAAAAGCTAGGTTAAAAGTAATAACAAATGTCATGCTGCAGAGTTTTTTGTCCAGTATGAAAATATAAAAAAAGTTAAAGTAACACAATTTCAAAATACACAGTAATATGTCATTCAGTAGGTACTGTCTGCTCTATTTCGCTTTGAGTAAATATGTATATTTCAGATATGACTTATATTCGAAAAGACAAAATAAAAGGTTCAAATCCTAATAAAGAAAAGAAAATTATGTGATAAATATTTTGACTAAATATTTAAGTTGTCATCTAAAACACACACAACAATACTAAAAAACAGTAAAACACTAGTTATAGATACACCAGAATAGCTGATGTATAATGTAACAACTTACCAAACATTCGTAGGTGCATATTTGTGATTGGATTGAAAGAACCACATGCCAGGAGAACTACCTTAGGCTTATCCTGCATCATCATGCTTGATGTAAATCACACGTACTTGTATAATGTGATATTGAATGTATGAAGACAAAAACTGCTTCTTGGAGAAAAAGAATATAATCTGGTTGAATACAAAACTTCATCACTTTCTTTTACTGTCTTCACAGTTGTAGCGCAGAAGTAAATAAAATTATCACTTCTAAACAATTATTTACAAAATATTCATTTCAATTGTAAACTTAGATTTTCAATCTAAACTGTAAAATTGTGTTGTAAAACTTTATATCATAAATTTTAAGAACAAGTCACTGCAATGTATACATTGTCTTCCACATCTCAAACTGGTTAACATGTCTCCCAACATTGTGTCCATTGTTTCCTGAATGTAGTCGTTCGAACAGTGGAAGTGACTACTGAAAAGTGTGTGTACACATGTTTCATTGCTTCTTAGGTAACCAAATTACCATTTTATAATATGGAAGTCTAGACTGTACTCATTTCCTGTTTATCATGTTAATTGATTGTCATCTTTTATGTCTGTTAATCATAAATAAAAATTTTACAACTTAGTAACATAACAGAGAATAAATCACTCTGCAGTTTCTAGTAATCAAAAAGTCAAAAGTCATATACTATAAGCTTTTTGAGCATGTTTTTTCATAACTACTTATGATTTAAATTCTATGTTTTTACTATAACCAATTTTAAAGTTAACATAAAAGTAATTTCTTAATTTCTGTTTTGGATATTGGTGAATAGAAGACATTAATACTAGAAATAAATAACCTTATAACACCAAAATGTTTTTACTTAATTAGACACTCAACATTTTGCTTTACAGCTTCTTCAGGAATGTTCACTAAATCACAAAATGAAACTGACTTTGAAGCTTTGTACTGTCAGTTTCAATTTGAATTTTAGTGAACACTCCTGAAGAAGCTGTAAAACAAAACGTTGAGTGTCTAATTAAAGAAAAACAACATTTTGTTGTTATAAAGTCGTTTACTTCTAGTATTAATAAAAGTCATTTCCCCAGTTTTAGACACAAATCTGACTTCCAAGAGCTTCAAATTAATTAGATAAGATTGGTTAAGTGGAAAACTTAATCAAGCTTAGGGTGTTTCAGTTAGCTATGAACAAAGCTAATGAAGTATTCCTTTCAAATTCTTGTGTTTCAACCAAATGCCTATGTAAAAATGAATGAATCAAAGAACTAGAATAATATATGAAAAACTTTTAGCATGCTAATAATAATCAAAGAATGGATGACTCCAAGTTTTACTAAAACAAACAAAATCAAAAAAGTTATATTTAAGGCTGAGAAGAATTATGAATGTTTTTTTAGTTTAGCTCAAAACATCAAATTTCTGGGGATGGAAGGATTATGTTAAAGAGATAGGCTAAGACTTCTCAGCTTACTTTTTCTTGTGAAAAGAAGGGTAAGAGATGATCTTACTTGGAGATCAAAAGGATAAAAGCCTCAGCTTCCTTCATGCTATATTTTGAAGATAATAGAATGAGGGGACACAAGATTTAAAAAACAACACACACACACACACAGGCTAGGCTCTGGTTCAGACATTTATTTTTCTAACTAATAATTGACTTATGAATGAGTTGCCATCATCAATAGTGGAAAGAGGCTAGCACTTTAGAGTTTAAGTCAATTTCAAACAGAATGCTCAGGGTCAGGAACATTGCTAATATCTTCTCTTGTAAAAAACAAAAAAAAAACAATCAAAACCCCAGTCACCTTATATTCTTCACCATTCTTTAAGAACCCGATCCCCATTCTAACATTTTACTTACCTTGAACATACCTAAAAAAAAATACTTAGTTTGTTTTGACATCATCAGTCACTTTTTATTTACCAATTTTTGTTTAATTACATTCCTATAGTTCTGTAAATCTTTCATTTTAAAATTCTTAAACATATGGTATTTATTCCTGATTTTCTCCTTTATATCTTAGTCCATAGAGGTGTCCCAACACATCAATATATAATCTTTTCACACGTAATGATACACTGATTCCTGTGGGTTCAAAGATCGATATACTTGCAGTAGATCTAAAATTACAAGTGACTAAAAATTTATTTTTAGGCTAAGCAAAATATTAAACAAATTAATGGCTACAACATTAGTAGTCTATTAATTTATTTTTAATTAAAATACAAATGTTTTAACAACCGAGAGATGCATTTAACAACCTTACTTGTCCTTTCAATTTGTAACAACAAAGTATTCTTTATGTAGCATTGTTTACATATCATGTCTAAACATCACAAGGCAGAAATAGTGGTTCAGAAGGAATCTAAATAAAGTATATTATGTTAATGGTTGCTAGTGCAGAATTGGTTTGATAGAAGCACATCTGCCTGGGCCACACTCACCACAGAGTGGGATCCTATGAAAATGAGGTAAGGGACCCTGCAAGGTAGCAATGAAAATACTCACCCCTCTGTATAATCTAGCAGGAATGGTTAAGATAGCTACAGGGGGAAGGCAAAAACCCTCAGATGAAGATACTGCCAGATCATGCAAATAACGTGAGATAAAAGTATTGGGGGAGGTCCACATACCAGTCTGCCCAAAGTCCTCCAGCAGGCAATTCAACCAGGCTGCTAAAGACATCGAAATGTGACAAATCTGATTAGACATGACTTGAAGAAACTTCTTTGCCTTCAAAGAGAGCCCAGAATAAAAAGTTGATGTGTAGCATCTCTAAAGGCATTAGTGCAGGCAACAAAACCTTCAAGACCTTCACTGAACACACCACAATTGCAATCTGATTGGACATAGAAGTAAGAAATTGGTGAAAAGTGGGTCAGCAGCCATGAAAAATAAACCTTCAGGTAAAAGAGATACATGATATATAAGAATCAGGTCTCAAACAGTTGTTGAGAAAGACCATGTAACGTAACCTTAATATACCTATTAGGTAACAGGAATGGTCATTTGGGACCAAGGACCCAAAGTGACTTTAGTCGTGAGAATCAAACTGCAGTTGATAAGGCCACTTTAAATAGGGCAATTGTGGAAAATGCAAAAACCCCTGCCAAAGAGCCAGGTCAAAAAAAAAAGAGTTATGGTTGGCACTTCTGATCAAAGTGAGTTCAACCCCCTCCCAATACAACATTACCAATATGCGTGTCATTTCCATTGATAAATGCTCATCTCAAGACTAGACAAAAACCGAGACAGATATATGACAACCTTAGAAATTAAACCCTGATGCCGTGCAAAAGACTGCCTAATGTCTATGCCTGAGGCTTAAGCTTTTGGATAGCCAGGTGTACCATGTCAGATCATGGCTGCTACCACAGAGATTACCTAAGAAGAAATGGAAGAGATGGACACTCCAGAAGATACTGCAGAAGCAGAAACCAGGGTGTAGCTGCCAATCTGGTATATAAAAAGGAGATGACAATGAGTTGGAACAAACTATATTTAGTACCATATCTTAGTAGTGTCCCGCCTTAACAACCCCCTCAAGATCAAAGAATGATCACGATTAAGGAAACTAGGAAATCCAGTGAATAGATGCTTATGAGCGATTTGAGTGATGCCCACATTCCTAGAAGAGAAAGAACCATCTGTGCAGTGGGTGAAGGAGAGGTGAATAAGAATCAGGCTTCCTATTCTATAGTGTTGAGCCCGATGGGAGTCAGCTGAGCCTGACTGAGAGGTGAGATGAAAAAAAACAAAAACACAGACTGATGACATATTAAATTGGAGCAAGAATAGATGTCTCAGCCCTAAGAATGAAGCCTGCCTTGTTGTTTCTGAAAGTAGAATCAGGATGTGATGTCCTGACAACTGACAAGATGTTGCCAGCAGTAACCAGTCACCTATGGAAAGGTGTGTGTGCACAGTACGATGAATGGAGATGACGAGAAAATACTTGTACGATTCGACAGAACCCATGTGAAACCGATGCGAGTCCTAAGGTAAAAACCCGGAACTGCAGTACCTGACCTTTGTGCCCAAAAATCACCGATAGTGGTGGGACACTATGGCAATGTGCAGATAGGTGGTGACTACAACAAACTTGGACATCCACAATCCCAGTAAAAAAATGTCAACTCAGAAATGTGTGAAAATTGGAGAATCTAGGCATCGATATAAATGAGAAAGATTGATGACTGGACACCAATCTCCTGTTTTCTGAGGCCCAACAACTTACAGGAATAAAACCTCGAAAGAACTAGCATGACTC